TTGGTTGTCAAAAAATTAACATGTTTTGGACAGGATTTGACCCACAACCTTTGCATTGAAGCTAAGACATCATCATATCCATCAAGCGTTCCATTAATCAGTTATTACTTGGTTGATTAGAAATTTGATACAATTTAGTATTAATTGAGAGGAAAAACAGATGCACTTTTACTTTTTGGGAAAGAAAAATTAAAAAGAAAAAATATATTTAATGATTGATTGAGTGAGTGAGTGAGTGAGTGATTGATTGATTGACTTATTGACAATTGTCTTTCAGATTGCTGAGTCTGTGTGGACAGTCCTTAAGGGAAATATAAACATCATTTTTACCATCTTGACAACAAGTATTTCTCTGATTTTTGGAGGTGGAACAGCACTCCTTAACTTAGTTATCTCATTTGTGAGTTCTTGGTTACCATTAATTTACAAGTTTTTAAATATCACATTTGACATGATAAATTTAAATTTAATGGTATGAAATGATTTTTTTCTATGATATGCTAACATTTTAATCTCTGTATTAAACAGTATATTCATTATAATATCTTAGTTGTATATTTATTGAAAATAAGAATGTAAATATAATTTCTCCCTATTTACAAACTGTATAAATATACAGTATTCTTTGAACATTAAATTTAAGGATTTTTGAACAGTAAATCTGCCAAGGAAGAAGTAAGTCTGCCATAAAAAATACTGAATTGCCTTTGTCTCCTTAAAAGTTGATTCCATGATCCCTTTAAAAGAGAAATTTAATGTTTCCACATATAAAATGTTTTCAAGGTTATAGTCAGTATCTTTAATTAATTGTAGCTATTTTACTGTTTTGCTGTTTCACTAATTGATTGTTTTAAAATATGTTTTAATGTACAGGGATATTTCAGCAAATGCTGCCATCTGTTTTTATGGTTCAATGAAATATATACCTGGATGATATAATGTAATTAGTTTCAGATTTATATCTTTAATAATAAGTGTATTTTATTTGCAATAATAAATTGATTTCATTTGAAACTTATGGTGATACTTTGCTTGTAAAAAATATATAATGTCCACTTAAAGTGTAACAAATAAGTATCCATTTGGAATTGATGATGAAATTACTAACATTTGTATGAATGTCCCATCAATTACATAGGAAATATCGGTCATATGTGTACATATATTAGTATGGTGTACATACTATATATCTAATGTAAATACTGTATATCAATCAAATAATGGTCACCATTTCAATGTAGAAATTGCTTTTATTTCAGGTTATTTTCATGACAACCTTGTTTTACTTGCTGAGCTTCAGTGATGACCAGTACAAACCGATGCAGTGGATATCAGGGCTTGCACCAACTGGACGATTTGGCAACAAAAAGTACAGTAATGCTGTTGAGGAAGCGATAAGGTAGGAGAAAGTGGATACCGAAACTGAAAAAATTGATAGCACATTATGACTATGTTTAGATTAGTGCTGAAGCTAGGTGTGATGTTGGTGTGGGTGTGGTTCCCGTGCCTGGTGATGACATTTGGAGTGTTGTCACTTAAGTTAACTTGAGTTGACCTAACTTAGCCACAGTGAAAGTTGTTGAGCTTTAATGTGTTGTTGCCAGCTGGGATTGGTCACATTTGAACTAGTTGAGAAGATAGAAATGTCAACCCAATCTATACCCAGGAGCAACATGCATATATTGCTTTAATTGATTTTTATAAGTTATGAACAATTTCATTCAAGGTGCAAGTCCACCCAGGCTAGTTCAGAATTCAGTGTAGCCACTGTGACACTGATTTCAGATTTTTTAGCTTGATTTTCAGTTGACTTAAAGAGTTCAAGAATGTGTTTGAATTTGTAGATGTGAAAAAGGAGAAAATAAATACAGCTTTAAGTAGTAGTACATTATTATTTATTTATTTGCTGTTGGAAATGCAAATGCTACTAAAAGGATTCTTATTTCAGGAGTGTGTTTGGAGCATCAATGAAGATGGCAGCATTTTATGGTTTGTTTACGTGGTTCACTCATACTCTCCTAAGCATGAGGATAGTGTACATACCAGCAGGTGAGGAGAACATTCATATTATTATATAATTTTAAACATAAAAAGTCTTGCCATTCCAAAACCAGCGTACTGTCGCTAAATGTTAAACTGTGTAATTAGTTTAAGAATTTGACACTGATAGTGTTGTATACTTTAGTTTGAGAATATAAATATATTAAAAAGTAAATTTTCTTGTGTGGACACTGATGCTTTGTTTGGCGTGGCAAGCCCCATATAGCTGATTATAAGGTTGAGGATTTCTGCATTTGTTGTGGTTCAACCTCTCTGCTTTATTTAAGGGTTGGAGCGACTTTCGCATGATTGTTTGCTTGTGTTTCTTGGGCAGTGCCCTTCATGTACATTTGTGGACCAGGAGTATAAAAGGGCTTGTGAGTGGTACTGATTATGATGAGCAATCATTGTTTGAGTGAGCCCTCTAGAGATATCTCATTTATCAAAACACTTTACGAAAATAGAAGGTGCATATTAGTGTTACATGGAACATTGTAATATTGTGTCTGATCATCTGTCTTGTTAATGAAAAGGGTTGTCGTGATGCAGTATTCATTATTACAATTACCTTGATTATGATGATCAATTATTGTTAGAGTGAGCCCTCTGTAGAGAAGTAATATTTTATACAGCTGTGCTTCATGTATTACATTATAATGCATACAAAAATTATCCATGGATATTTAAAGCGCAATAAAAATTGTATTGATTTTGATTTATGACGACAAATTAGCAATAATTCATTATAAGATATATTAGAAGGCTGCCTTAATGCACAATACATAATTGTGTATATGCTACTTCTCATTGGCTTCCATCTGTACCATTTTGTAAAAACCACAATAAGAATACCAAAAAACCTATCAAAAACGCACAAAAAAAAAAAAAAAAAAAAAAA